ATCTCCTGAGTAAAGTGGGAGTGTGGGGATCATGGGAGAGGGCATAGGAAGTAGGGGAGGAAGAGAGGGGAGTGGAGAAAATATACAGGTCAATAAAACAATATAAAAAAAAGATTAAAAAGAAAAAGACTAGGCATGGTGGCATGTGCGTGTAATTCCATCACCAGGGAGACTGCACACCCCACATGATTTCTGGGTATGTGGAACAACCTCACTTTCACCCCACATTACCTTTCTGCTGCCAGGAGGAGCTGGATCAAAGATTCGGGTCTGCATCTCACTGGGAAGGGCAGAGTACACTGGGAGGATGATTAACTCTGGAACGTCAGGTCCCAGGGATTTCATTCTTTCATACAGGATCTCACAAGCAGTATCGATTTCTTCCTGACCAGTCAAGAAAACCAAGATATCACCTATGAAGAGAATGAAGCATCACTTACTCTGTCTCTGGGGGGTAGGGGAGTGTTTTGTTGTTTCTTTTGGTTTCTCTTGTGCATATCTGCCATGGAGCCACATCCCCAACCCTCTTTTCACTTTTTAAAAGTTTGAGACAAGGTCTCACTCAGCTGTCCAGGCATGCCTTGAACTTGAGACGTCCTAGCTAGTTAGCTGGGATTACAAGCCTGTAAGAAACAGAGGTGAGTCAATCTGTCCAGGCTGGCCCTCGACTTCTAGCTCAAGCAATTCTCCTGCCTCTTGGTAGCTGGAACCACAGGTACAAACCACCACATTCTGCTTGAGTGAAAGGCTACAGCATCACTCACAGCATTGCTGCATACATACAGAAATACACATTCACACTATGAACGCCAAATAAACCAAGAGGGCTATAAGGAGAAACCCTGTCTCATTTAAACCTAATGTCACTTCTTTAACATTTCCACCACCATTCCAAATACACATGCCTGAGACTTACAAAGAGAACAGTATTTAAACCAGTCAAAAATACACTCACAGCAGGATTTTTGGCCAAGACAGAAGCCTTTCCCCCCCTCACCTGGCGGCTCTGTTAGATGGATCTGCATGACGGTGATCAGACTGGCGTCCAGTTAGTCCGTCTCGGGCTCCTTTGTGTACAGTATCTCCACGGGGTAGGTCCGACCAGGGATGGTGAAGATGGGTGCTTCATAGAAGTACTGAGAAAACTTCACTGCATCCAAGGTGGCTGAGGTGACAATCAGCTTCATGTCTTGTCGTTTCTGAACTGTCTAAAGTTAAATGTAAGGTGTTTACTAAAAAGATATGTGAACCGACACAGGGCACTCAAACCCTAGTCCCAGAAACTGGGGTTCACCTGCCCACCTTTTTCAACAACCCAAAGAGGACATCTGTGTGAATGGTCCTCTCGTGGGCCTCGTCCAGCATGATGATAGCATACTGAGTGAGGTCGGGGTCAATCAGGCACTCTCTCAGCAGCATGCCGTCTGTCATGTACTTGATGACCGTTTCTGGGCTGGTGCAATCCTCAAATCGAATAGTGTAGCCCACCTACGGCAGGACAGAAGGAAGAAACCTAAGCCTGGGGTCCCTCTGTGAAATCATCAGACAGGTCTCATACTCCTAGGAGAGAGGAACTAGCTAAGACCTCAGTGGTTTCCTCCAGTAAAGTCTGCCCTGCCCTGGACTTGACCCTGAATATCTTGATGACGATGAAAAGCTCACTCCTTTGGGAGAAACCTAAAAAGGTAAAAACATTCTCATTTTATAGATAAGGTATCTGGGCCTTTCTATTTTTCTTTTCTTTTGGAATTCACACAGCAGCTTCTCCAATCACTCACCTCTTGACCAAGACAACAACCAAACTCCTCCGATACTCTTTTGGCCACGGACATGGCTGCCACTCTTCTGGGCTGGGTACACCCAATCTTGCCCCTTGAAGTGTAGCCTGCCTCCGCCAGGTACTGGGTGATCTGTGTCGTCTTCCCAGATCCTGTCTCTCCAATCACAATGAGGATCTGATTGTCATGCACAGCCTGAAACAATATAAACATACTTGTTAAAATCTGCCACAGGGGATGGAGAGATGGCTCAGTCATCAAGAGCACTGGCTGTTCTTGTAAAGAACCTGAGTTTGATTCTCAGCAGCCATATGGCCCCTCAGTAGTTCCAGTGCCCTCTGACTTCTGCAGACAACAGGCAGGCACACAGTGTACAGACATACAGGCAGGCAAAACACCAAGCAGGAAGGAGGAATCTATTTGAGTTTGAGGCCAACCTAGGATACTCAGTAGGTTTTAAGTCAGCCTGGGATATGGTATGAGATGATGTCCAAAAAACCAAAAGGAAAGGATGAGGGGATGGTGTGTAGCTCAGTTAGCAGACTGTTTACCAGCTTGATCCCTAGTACTGTGTGGAGGTCCATGCCCATAATTCCAGAACTAAGGCGGGAATACTAGTAGTTCAAGGTCATCCTCAGAAAGCTTGAGGCCAGATGGAAAATACACGAGACCCCATCTTAAAAAAAACAAAACAAGAAAACCTTTTTTTAAGGCAAGTGTGGTGGTTCACACCTGTAATCACAGTACTGGGAAGGCTGAGGTAAGAGGATGGATCATCATCAGTTCGAGGCTAGCCTGGGATACAGAATAAGGAGCCTGTGAGATGGTTTGGTGGCTTAAGGTTGACACAGCTTGAGTTTGAACCCATGTAAAGGTAGGAGAAATTCAACCCACAAAATGTCCTCTCACCCCCCGACACATGCCTTGAGGTATGTGCCCCGGCCCCTACATCATACACACATTAATAATGAGGAATCTGGGTCGTAGCCTAGGCAGAACAGTGCTTGATGGAATTTGAGCTCTAGCACCCCAACACACAGCCCATTTAGTAAACACTACACCCCGTCCTACCTGCACCAGCTGTTCCTTCAGTTTGTATATGGGCAGGCTCTCCCTCTGTTCAAGGATTGACATCTGGGTCTTCTTCCCTTAGGAGGCTTTGTTGCCCCCAAAGGCATGCTTCTTCCACTCGGGAATGTCGTTGGGCATCATCCCAATCCCCCGCATGTTGGCAGCGATCTGCCTGCCCTCCGCTGGAAAGGAAAACAAACTGAGTGTTGGCCTCAAGCTACTACTACATGCCATTTTTCCAAGTGTTAGCTCAGGGCCTTCTAATATACCCCAAAGCTATGCGGCCATCACCACCTAACTACAACATTCTCAGCCCTCCCAACGACCTCTTTCCCTTTTTGCCTTCCCTTGACACCTCTGCTCTCTTGGGCTGCGCTCTGGGAGCTTCATATGGTGCGTGCTGTCTTGGGGTTTTCACCTGCTTTAATGTTTTCAAGATTACCCCAAAATTTGTAGCTTGAATTGGGAGCAAAAGAATGAGCAATAAAAAGAATTTGGGTGGCTCACTCAAAAATGCAAAACTGTTATAAACTTGGTGGCAAAAATACCCAAAACATTACATACTTCAGTCTCAGGGACAGGAGAGACAGCTCTGTGTGCTCTCCAGAGGACTTGAGCACCCAAGCTGGGTGGCTCACAACCACCTGTAACCAGCACCAGGGGGTCCAGCACCTCTAGCTCTGTGGGTACAGACCCACACACAGACACATGACTTAAAATAATAAAAAATAAATCTTTAAATGTTTATATATATGTAAATTTGAGATAGGGACACAGAGTAAGACCCCCTCTCAAAACATACACATGCATCCACGTGCACGCACACGAACACACACACACACACACACACACACACACACATACCTTACTTCAATCTACAAAGCAAATCAGTGAGCTCTGAAAGAGGTCAAAGGAGTCTCACAGTAAAGGGTAAAAAGGGAAGGGAGCTTGTTCCAAGAGAATAAAGGGTTCTGTGTGTGTGCACATGTACAAGACATCATGTCACTGTAGGGTACACATGCATACCAATATGTAAGTATATGTACATATATGTGTCCATGTCTGTGGAATCTAGAGGACAAGATCAGGGGTCCTTCAGGCGCCATGACTTTTTTTCTCTTGAGACGGGGTCTTTTACTGGTTTGGAACTAGCTAAGTGCGCTCTGCTGGTTGGCCAGCAAGTCCGAGTCACCTGTCTCCCCAGTGCGGAGATTACAAGCACACACCACCATGCCCAGCATCATTAACACGGGCTCCAGGGCTCAAACTAGGTGTAAGTACTGACAAGGCAAGCAGTTTACATCTTCCATGCTCTGGAAGATTTTCTTTTTATTTTATTAAAAAAAAAACAACAACAACAAACAAAAACCAACAGAAGATCTGTAGCTCTTCAATGTTGATTCATCTCTTCTCCCCATCTAAACTGTTGTCTAAGTTAAGCTAACACCCCCAAATTCTCTCTACAACACAGACCCCTCTTCTGAGCATTCTGATACTCAACTAAGGTGTCCTTTGGCTACCTGAGACACAGTCCATCACACCCTTTCCCCCACAAACCTGATTCTCATCAGTCTCTTATCCCAAAGGGGCCATGACTCACTCCAGCGCTTACATTAGAACTGGAAGCTACTTCCCCATCCCCCATATTCCACAGCTACCCTTCTCAAATCTATTCCTCTTCTCTGACAGCATCATGTTCAGGTCTTCATTTCTCCTCTCGCTATCATAAAAGCCTGCTACTCTACCTGAAGTGTCTACTCTTGCCCTACCCAACTCCTCCTGCAGAGCCCTCTGATGATCTTTTAGAAACCCTACTCCTCATGCCATCCTCATGTTTAGAACACTTTTACATTCCATGATTCACTTAGGATTGGCCCAGATACCTAATACCATCTACAAAGCCCTGGTCTGCCAACCCCACCTCATCCCTCACCACCCAGAACAACACAATATTTCATCCACAGACTTCTTTAAGTCTTGTCTACTGCAAAGTATTAACACGGGCTACTACTCCCCTGCCTCCACATATTCTATAAGACCCTATAAAACTCTAGGTTCTAGCCAGTCATGGCAGCTCATACCTGCAATTCCAGTACAAAGGAGGCTAAAGCAGGAGGACTGTTGCAAATTTAGGACTAGCCTAAGCTACACAGTAAGTTTAAAGCCAGCCAGAACTACATAATGAAACTGTCTTAAAATAGAGAGATAGCAGTGGTTACGGGTATTAGAGGAGGCCCAAGTTGGATTCCTAGCACCCATATGGTGGTTCACAATCATCTGTAACTAGTCTCGAGGGATCCAAAGCCCTCTTCTCACCTTCATGGGCACCAGTCACACACAAGGTACACAGAGTTAACATTCAGGCACAACACCCATACACATTTTAAAGCCAAAAACAAAACAGGGGCTGGAAAGATGGAACTCACCCCAGGTTCAGTTCTTGACACCTATATTAGATGGCTTACAACTGTGTGTAAGGAGATCCGTTGCCCCTTCTGGACTCCAAGGATACCCACATGCACATGGCATTCATACAATCACTCAAACACACATATATACACAAGACTGTATTATCTTTCTGTTCTTCGTTGTTGTTTTTAAGATTGGATCTAATATAACCCAGACTATCCCAATGTAGTTGAAGATGGCCTTGAACTCCACCCCTCATCCCCCATACAGTGTTTCTCTGTTTAGCCCTGACTGTCCTGAAACTTCCTCTGTAGACCAGGCTGACCTCTAAGATTAAAGGCGTGTATGGTCACCTGGCTAAAAATAATAATCTATGAATTGGCTCCAATGTAAAAGGGAAACTGGGGCTAAACTTCCACTTTGCATCTGTAGTATCAACTGTTTTATACATACACAAAGTGTAGTGTCCACTGTTTTATACATACACAAAGTGTAGTATCCACTGTTTTATACATACACAAAGTGTAGTGTCCACTGTTTTATACATACACAAAGTGTAGTGTCCACTGTTTTATACATACACAAAGTGTAGTGTCCACTGTTTTATACATACACAA